ACAATTAAGATATTGGGCCTGCCAAGGCTCCAGTCCACCTTATGAGCCATAATAGCATTCCTGCCAAGACTCCAGGCATGTCTGTTACCCAACAGAGGACAGAAACTCTGCTGAGGATTTAACCCAGCATACCACCTAGATTCTGTTCCTTCTCTTCACCTAGACTCTGCCCCCACCACCAGTGACAACAAGATCCCTCCTAAAACTTCAGCCATTCGAGCTCTGCCAGTGCTCTCATCTTCCCTGTACCACACTGACACTGTAACCACCCCAGACACTGAGAGGTTGCACAGATTCCATCTGTTTTAGCCAATGAATAACATAGGATTGAGAATTTCAGATATAAAAGGGTGGATGACATCCTTGAGCCTTCATCCAGTACCTGATGGAAGCAGAAACAGAGATTCAATGACCCAAATTCCTACAATCCCGTTGAGGAGACAGAAGAGTGATGAGGAAAGGGGTCAAGACCAGGCTGGAGAAACCCATAGAAACAACTGATCTGAGCAAGTCGGAGCTCATGGACCCCAGTATGACATCTGGTGAACCAGCATAGGACCAAGCCAAGCCCCTTGAATGTGGGTATCAGTTAGGAACACTGGGCAGTCTCTAGGGCCACTGGCTGTGGAACCATTATTTATCCTTAGTGCATGAATGCACTTTGGGAGCCCATTCCCCATAGAAGGATATTCTCTCAGCCTAGATACATGGGGAAGGGCCTAGACCCTGCCCCAAATGCTGTGATAGACTTTGATGATTACCCATGGAAGGCCTCACCCTCCCTGGGGAGTGAATGATATTAGGATAGGGGTTCAGTGGTGGTCATGGGGGGATCACTGGAGGAAGAGGGAACTGGGATTGATACGTAAAATGTGATTGTATCTAATTTAAATAAAAATTATAAAATACAAGAAAGACAAGAAAAATAAAAGGTGGCTGAGAAAAGCAAACACAGACAGTGTTGAAGTTTCATTTTGGTGTCCTGACTGTCTTTGTGGTTGCAGGATACAGCACTGCAAATCCACAAGAGTATCTTTTAGAAGCACAAGCATAACTCTGAAAATATTGATAAGTTTTAATAAATAGATCAACAGATAAAGGACAGTTTAAAAGTGGATAAGTCCATATTCAGCCTAGTTCTAGATATGACAGTGGGATCTGAATGCAAAATCACAAGTAATATGAAAAGCCAAGGCAAAATAACTCTTCCATATAATAGTATCTCAGAGTACCTACCACTGATGAGAGTGAATTAGATAAAATCCTGGGTAGAGATATCAACAGAATGAAATGTTAAAAAAAATGGACTGAGAAAATAAATGCCTGAACTAATCCCCATAGAACACAACTTAAAAAAACAAAAAATTCTAAATGTGATATAAAGTTGGAATTAGATAAAGAAATGGAAAAATAAAACTGGAATTCCGGAAATTAACAACACAGTAAGTTGAATAAATAGATCTGTGCAAAATCTCATTTATATAACTGATCAATGAGAGTGCAGACTATCTGACCTTGAAGACAATATTAATTATTAAGAAGGTATAAATAGGACTTTCAGGATATGCAATACAAGATTTAAATATAATCTAAGACTCCTATATATTTTGCGACTATATAGACATGTCTTAAAGGGTTTGGATTCAATTCTTAGTACAATGTTGACTCATAACCACTTGTATCTCTACTTCATGGCCTCTCTGGGTACCATGCCCACATTTTGGTGTACAGACAGACATTGTGGTAAAGCATCCATACACATAAATTGAAATGATTTTAAATAATTAATTACATTTAAAAAAGATCTTGTATTCAGAAAAAATCATTCAAGAGAACAGAAAACTATGCCAATAAAATCATAACCAAAAATCCCTTAAATTAAAAATTTCAATTAGATACAACATATATTGGGGGAATTCTAAACAGACATTGACAGGAAAACTTCATCCATAATAGCATTACTAAACTGTTAAATGTTTATTGCAAAGTAAGTATATTGCATTATGAGAGGAATACCTAGTTTCACAAGACCTCATTAGCGATGTCAAAAACTTGAGGCATTTATAAAAACATATGGTCAAATTCTCAAAAAAATCAATTAAACTTACTATATGCAGCAAGCTTTTATAATTTAAAGAGAAAGAAAGTTCCTATAGTAAAATTATACTTAAGTAATTCATAGATTCTAAGCCACATATATAGAATAATATTGAAGGAAACCTCCATACTGAAAAAAAGAGACATATATGTAAAGCCACAAGAAATAATATAAGTTTGATAGCCATTCGACAAAAGGATTAGGAAATACTACACAATCAGCTAATGATAGGAAATATTTTTCCCTTTCACTTGTAATTCTAAATATCAGTGGACTTGATTTTAAAATTAAAAGATATAGATTAACAGAATCAATTTAAAGGGTAAGATCCATTTATTTAACTTTGAAGAAATGCACCTCATCATAAAACACAAGTATTACTTTTAAGTGAAAGATGAAACTCAGATCAGATAAAAGCATACATGATTTTTCTGGTATCTGACAAAGTAGAATTCAAATGAAAACTAGTCAAAAGTGAAAAGACAAGCCTTACCTTATACTCATTAGAGTAAAAATCCACGAAGAATAAACTAAATAAATAAATAAAAATAAACGTGCCAAATGTTGGCACAACAAGTTTCATAAGCGATACTATTGTATGGAAAGTCGCATGTAAACATCTGCACAATAATAGAAGGTGATTTCCACAACTCATTTTATCCAATGAAAGGACATCTGGACAGAAAATAAAAGGAATGTCAGAGTTAAATATCTAAAGAGTATTCAATCTGAATATGTGTTACCTAACCCTTCTTATCTGTCTATAGAGCATTTTAAAAACAGATCACATATTATGTCATGAAATAAGTCTTAACAAATATAAAAATCTGAAACAATTTTTTATTTCCTATCTCATTTAATGAAACAACACTACAAATTAACAGCTAAAGAATATGTACAGCTATAGAATATACACAAACTCATGGAAATTAATGAAGTCCCTCATTACTAAAAGAGTAAGTCAGGTAAAATCAAAAGGGAAAGTGAGATATCACTTATAAGAATTGAAATGAGTGCAGAACGCAATGAAACGTGTGATATGGATGAAACCTAATTGATCATGGTAGATGATTTTTCTGATGTGTTCTTAAATTCTATTTGCCAATATTTTATTGAGTATTTTTGCATCAATGTTTATGAGTGATATTGATCTGTAGTTCTCTTTCTTAGTTGTGTCTGTGTGGCTTGGGTACCAAAGTAACTGTAGCCTTTTAAAAAGAGTTTGGCAATGAACCTTCTATTGTGTGAAACAGTTTGAGGAGCATTTTGAATTTCTGGTAGAATTCTGTACTGAGGCCATCTGGCCTGGGGTTTTTTTGACTGGGAGACTTTTGATGACCGCTTCTAATTCATTAGGTGTTATAAGTCTATTTAAATAGCTTGTCTGTTCTTTATTGAATTTTGGTAAATAATATCTATCCAGAAGATTTTACATTTCCTTTAAAATTTCCAATTTTGTGCAAAATTTGTAGAAAGTTTCCAATTTGTACAGGTTTTCAAAGTATGAAAGTTGAGCATAGATGAAAAGTTTCTCAATGAAAGTACTTGAGAAATTACATTTCAGGCTAGCAAAAGAGTCAGAGATACCCCTACCACACACATTTTTAGGAGTCCCACCGGAACACCAAGTTACACAACCATAACATATATGTAGAATACTTATCTCAGACCTGTGGTGATATATTGTTTATTATCTAATAAAGTTTGCCTAAAAATCAGAATGTAAAGCTTGTCATAGCCACAGAGGTCAGGCAGTGGTGGTAGACACCTATAAACCCAGCAGGCACACTAATTTTGTATAGACATTGGGCAGTGGTGGTGTATACCTTTAATCCTAGCACAAGACAAGTATATAAGACAGGAGTTCACGGTTTCCAGTCATACCAAGCACAGGATCACCCTAAGCTTGGTAGAGGTAAAACATCTCTAGTGGGCTTTTCTGATCTTCAGCTTGAACCCCAATATCTGTCTCTGTGTTTTTTATTATTCATACTATATAGACCCATACAGGGTCCATGATTGTCACTTCAGTTTCTGAGATCCCTTATAAGCCCAGTTTTCCCCTAGACATATTTGGTTCAATTTTAGTCTCTGGGTTATCTAGTCTCTGGTTCCTGGACCTCCAGACAGTGTCAGGCATGGACTCCCTAATGTGGTGTGGGCCTCATATTGGATCAGTCATTGTTTGGCTACTCCCACAAGTTCTGTTCCACCATTATCCCTGCACACCTTACAGGCCAGAAAAAAAAAGTAGGTCAAGGTTTTATGGTGGGGTTGATACCCCAATCTCTGCACTGGAAGTATTGCCTGGTTACAGAAGATGGCAGGTTTAGGCTCTGTATACATCATTACTAGGACTCTTCATTTGGGTCACCCTCATAGACTTCAGGGAATTTCTACTGCCCTAGGTTTCCACATCACCCCAAATGTTCACAGTTCTAGTTGCCTCTCCCAGTACTCTCTCCAATCATTCCTTTATCACCTGTGTTCTTATCCCAATCTGCCCCCCCAAAAATCTGCAAAATGTATGCTACTTCCCCCTCCCAGGGAGATCCATGTCTCTCTCCAGAACCCTCCTTGTTACTTAGCCTCTCTAGGTCTGTGACTCCTAGCATGAGTATCCTTTACTTAACAGCTAATGTCCACTTAAATGTGAGTACATACCATGTTTGTCTTTCTGAGTCTAGGTTGCTTAATTCAGGATGATTTCTGTATCTAGTCTCAGGGAAACTTTTATGCCATATTTGCTTGATATCCCTGGGAGTCCAGTTCTTTTCTGAGAAGTGGATTTGGAGGATAGAGAAAGCGGTGGGGGCTGCGAGGTGTAAAGGGAGGGGAAATGGCTGTTGGGATGTAATGTATGAGAGGATAATAAAAGTAATACTTTCAAGAAACAAAATTTCCTTATCATTAAGCAGAGTTTATTCCAGAAGTAATAGAGGGATGGTCCGAAATAATACAAGCCAACAATTGTAATACGTTATTACATAAATGGATTGAAGGACAGGAATCATATGATCATCAATAGATGGAGAAAGAATTTTCATAAAAGTCCAACATTTAACCAAATAAAAGTCCTGAAGAAACTTAGAACAGAAGGAACATAACACACACACAAATATAATTTTTAGTTAACATAGGTTGCAAGGAGAGTTGCAGATCATATATATGCAAATCAAAAGTAAGCCTTCTCTTCAAGAGCACTAATGTCAAAACCATTTTAAAAAAACTTACATTCATTAAGAAAGTCACAAGATGAAGTATTTTCTTGATGCACATAATTTTCCACTACTAAAAAATAATACAATAAATGAAGTAATAGATTAAAAATCAAAGAAAATTAAAAAGAAAAGGTCAAGCAAAAAGTATCTGCACTTACAAAAGCAAGAAAGCTCCTGAGGGGTTTGTAACATATGCGAAAGGCTAATGCAAATTTTCAGTCTCAGATTTATCAAGAAGTTTTAAAATATCATTGGACACATAATAAGCATTCTTTCCCACTGTAAAATCAAGATGGCTAAAATCAGCAGTAATTTTATGGTAAATGAGATTGGAGATTTTGGGTACCAAATGTGCAACATCTTTTGTATCAGCCAAAGAGTCTTTTCCACCACTCCACATGGCAGTTGGAATCTTCATGTCTTCCACATTGTATAATGGAGGAGTTGTCTAATGGAAAACCATAAAGAGTTTAACAAAAAAATGTAAGACTGTTGATGGCTTATTCTTTCCTGTGACAGGATAATTATAACAATGTGCTTACTATGTCCGTATAAATTATTGATGATCCTAGAGTTTGACAGGAAAAATTGATTTCATTTTTATATATTTATTTACTTTAGTTTTTGAGATAGCTACTTTTTACCTCTACCAAGGGTAGGGTGATCCTGTGCTTGCCAAAATCCTACCCTCTCAGTATCCTTAATCCTAAGGTTACTGGGATGTGTCACCACACCAAGATTGTAATGCACTGTTATTCAAGTATGAAATCATACAAGTCCTAAATTCTCTGAACCTTGGTTCTTTACACGTGAAATGACTATAATTATATGATTAATCCCACATGGTTTTGTTAAATTCAAATACCATGATAGATAGAACATTGTTTTTCAAAGTATTATCTTACAAAAGATAAAGCTATTTGTTTTTAATCTTCCCAAAGATTTGTATGGTGTATCTTCCTAAGAAAAATAAAATACATCCTTGTCTTATTTTAAAAAAGACTTTGATTAGATTTCTTATAGCATATGCCATTTGTAGGGACCAGATCTTTAAATATGGACAAAAGGACTTACCTGATTGTAGTGTAGCATATTTAGAGACTGGCTTCCCCAATCATAAGCCTCAAACACACCTTTTTTAATTGCCTTAAATAAGGATAAAAAATAACATTACTTACAAAACCTTATATTATTGTAGAACTAGAAGTTACTGAATTTTATTGCCTGTTTTTACAGTAATGACACATTGACTCTGGCAAACCCAGTACATTTTCTATCTCAATGATATATACTGCCTGATCAATGACTACTAAATTACAGTCCCAGAAAATTTCACATTACATGAAAATGTATAAAAAGAATATTGAATTCATAAGCTTATATTAATAACAACTCAAATAAAATATACCTTAAAAATAATCTAATAATGCCTAACATGTATCAGTTCATATGTACTGTACATCAAGAAAATTCAATAAGAAGCTGAGAAAATATCATTCATGAATGATAAAAGTTTAGTTATCTAATGATGTAAAATTTATATATAATTTCATGTTACATTTAATTTTAGTAGTATGTAGTATACCTCAGCTTATAAATATTTTATTTATCAAATGTATTTAATTATAAGAATCTAAATTAATGCCTACAATAAAAATAAAATGTATGAAATCTCTAATTACTACTTGTGAAAGTTAATTTACTGCTCTATAATTCAAATAAATTCAAAACATATTTTATAATACATTTGTTGATATTTGCATTAGTATTTTATATGTAATAAAATTCATATCTTTAATATATATAACTTAATTTACATAATTACTATGTAATATTATACAACAGAAGAATTTTCAAAAATGTTTATATAGATGTTGCATAATCTATGTATCTAAAAAATAGGAAATTATAATGATCAGTAGTGAGTAACAGAACAGAACAGAAAAAACAAAGTGGAAATGTTAAGAAAGTTGTGGAATCCTGAATGGATTTCTATCAACAAAGCAATATAAAGAGGTATTTCTTAGGATGCGACATATACTGATTTGTTAATAATGGCCTAATAATAGAATAAAAATTTCCATATAATAATTTATGTAAAGGCCATGCTCGTGTATAGAATTTAAATAATACATGTTAGAATGTAATTAAAAAACATTAGACGAGATGGGCTTGTTCCCTATGTGCAGGTACCAGTTTACCTCTTGTCAAATGACATTACTATGATGACCTCATTCTATGTGCAGTGTCTTGGCAGTCACATAGGGATTCTCCCGAATAAGTAGGTAGGAAAACATCACATTTTACTCGTAGACATTAATGGTTCCTACAATTCTCATCTTCCATCAATCTGTGAAATTGATTACTAAAACTGATATTAATTTGACATAAAATATATGTATATGGATTTACTTACTGGAATAGATAGCCATTCTCTTTGAGAATAAAATGATATGACCACTCTCTGATTATCACATTTTTCTGCAAAGATTCTATGTACTGATATGTTCCTTTTAATCTATCGAAAGGGTTGTATTACCCTAACAACAAAGTAAACTGGAGAAACATTCTCTCAAACTTATGAAGGAGAGGAATTTCAAAAGCAAAATAAAAGAAAGAGACATATTTCAAAAATCGTACCTGACGGTAATGTAGAAGAGTTTGAACTGATGTTCCTGCTAGACTGTGTCTTATATATACATCAACGCGGCTCTATAAGAAAGTCGGGCACCACATACATATTTTAGCATTAGGTTTCCTTCCACAGAAACAAATCTTTCAAAATACTGAAAATATGTCTTTAAGGGCTGGAGGGAGGGCTAGTGATTAAGAGTACTTGTTCTTGCAAAGGACTTAGATTTAATTCCCAGCATCAACATGGTATCTCACAACTGTCTATGATTCTAGTTCCTGGGTATATAATGACTCTATGTGCACTGGTTTGTGCCCAGACAAACATTCAACTAATGTACTCATGTAGTGTATCTCCAATCAGTTTATAAGGAAAAACTGGACTTTGGCTACAAGAGGAAGCTAAACAGTCTTGTTTTGAATTTTTGAAATGTAAATGCAATAACATTATTAGTCCCCCTTTTGGTCCTCCAATCCCTACCACATACCTTGTTGTCTCTCACAGTAACTACCTATAGACTATTTTTCCTTAATTGTTGTTACATATTCCAAAATATAAAAACATCAAGTCACATAACATTTGCCTGTGACTTCAGGGCTCACCACTGAATTTTAGGGAGATTTCATGTACACACCAATGGCTGGATGTGAGCTTCTCAAGAGAGTTGACTCTACCTTCCTTCTTTCCTTCCTTGCTTCCTTACTTCCTTCCTTTTCTTCTTCATTCCTTTTTCGTTCATTCTTCTCTCATATATTACAACTTGACTGCATTCCCTCCTTCCCTCCCAGTCTCATGCCCACCTCCTCTCTCCCCAGATACACTACTCCTCTGTTTTCAGAAAAAGAAGTCCTCCCAGGGCTATTAGATAGACATGGCAAATCAAGTTTCAATAAGACTAGGCACATTTCCTCAGTTTAAGGCCGGATGAAACAATTCAGACTCTAATTGTCTTAACAATAACTATACACATATGTTTTGGGCTTTGATGTTAAACCATTCAAAGGATGTAATATGCTATCACTATCAATGGTTAAGGAGAATTTAGATATTAACAAAATATGTGTCAATTTATTCACTTTTTTATGTTTTAAAGAATTTCATTTCTTAATGATTCATATTTTATATGAAAGTTTATATGGAAATATCCTTAGTTCTGGAACAGAATTGCTGAACTGAATGATCAGTTACCAGATGAATGACAGTAGATGCATTAGACTGGAGGGCATAGAAGAAAAAGATGAAACTCATTCACATGTGACACTCAGCTATTCATTCATAAGTGGTGTATACCAGATTTTCTATGTTGTCATGTCGATAACTTGGAACTTGCATGTAAAGCACATTTTGACTTTAATATAGACTATACTAAATGAGTTAAATATTAATTAGTAATATAGACTTGTTATGTCATCAGCATGAAAAAAGTAATAAATTTGAAAGAGTACAACACATACCTTATTTAAATGTTGTGGAACATATCCAGTCATTGATAAAAATATAGCAACACATCCATCATTGATTACCTTAGCATTGCATGAGTATCCATGCAACTTACTGAAAGCTACAGCAGACAAAAATTCTTTTTCACTGAAAACGACCTGAAATTGACAAATTTGAAGAGCAACTCTTAGTCTGAAAAAGTCTAGTAGGAAACACAAAGTTTACAAGGAGTGAAAGACATTAAAAAAGCTCTAGCATGTTACTTAAGGGGGACTGACTTAATTCACTGTTAAGACATTCAGTACATAATTTGATAAAACACATCCTATGATTGTTTTAATCACTTTCAACTGATTGAGAACTTCTGAGAATCATGAACATTGTGATGTGCCGGCAGTCTTTCTGCTTCATTCTTGTGGAGAAGTTACTCAGTGTTAATATCTGGAAGGTTTGTTAAACAATGTGTGGAAATTTTGATGCATGCATACAATGAAATGAAAACATGTCCAAACAAAAACTTCTAAATGAGCAAAACAAGAAAAACACTGACAACTCCTGTCAGTAGTGGCTCGACTGATTGAGTGTGATACATTTACCTTATAGACTATTTTTTCATAAAGAAGTATCTGTAATGCCTAACACAAGTGAACTAACACATTTACACCAACTTAAAGAGCCATTATATAAGACACCACAGTGCATGATTCCCTTTAGATGAAGTGACTAAAATTAGCAACTATAGTAGACACATTGGTGATTAGAGATGCTGGGGGAAGGAGACAACAACAGCTTTATTATGTAATGATAGCAGGTAGCATTAGTTGAAAGAATACATGATTAAAATAAAAACTCCAGTGACAGTTTATGCTGGAGAGAATATGGAGAAAGGGGAACACTCCTCCACTGCTGGTGGGAGTGCCAACTCGTACAGCCACTTTGGAAATCAGTTGGAGATTCCTCAGGAAAATGGGAATCAGTCTACCACAAGATCCAATTATTCCACTCTTAGGCATATACCCAAAAGATTCACATTCATACAAGGACATCTATTCAACCATCTTCATAGCAGCAATATTTGTAATAGCCAGAACCTGGAAGCAACCTAGATGCCTCTCAACTGAAGAATGGATGGGAAAAATGTGGTACATTTACACAATGGAGTACTACTTAGTGGAAAAACACAATGGAATCTTGAAATTTGCAACCACGTGGATGGTACTAGAAGAAATCATCCTGAGTGAGGTAACCCAGTCACAAAAAAGACAAAGTGGTATGCACTCACTCATATATGGATTTTAGACATAGAGCAAAGGATTCCCAGCTTACAATCCACATCGGCAGAGAAGCTAGGAAACAAGGAGGTCCCTAATAGAGACATACATATTCCCCAGGAAAAGGGGAAAGGGACAAGATCTCCTGAGGTAATTGGGAGCTTGGGGGAGGGGAGAGGGAGCTAGGAGAAAGAGATGGGGAGAAGAGGAGAGGAGAGGAGGACATGAGGGAGTAAGAAGATCTAGTCAGGGGAAGAATAGAGGACAGCAAGAAAAGAGATACTGTAATAGAGGGAGCCATTATAGGTTTAAAGAGAAATATGACACTAGGGAAATGTCCAGAGATCTACAAGGACAACCCCAGCTAAGAATTTAAGCAATAGTCAAGAGGTAGCCTTAAATGCCCTTCTCTGATAATGATATTGATGACTGCCTTATATGCCATTCTAGAGCCTTCATCCAGTAGCTGATGGAAGCAGAAGCAGACACCCACAACTAAACACTGGGCTGAACTCCTAGAATCCAGTTGCAGAGAGGGAGAAGTGATGAACAAAAGGGTCAAGACCAGGCTGGAGAAACCCTTAGAAACAGCTGACCCAAACAAGGGGGATCTCATGGACCCCAGGCTGATAGCTGAGAAATCAGCATAGGACTCCAGAACCCCTGAACGTGGATGTCAGGTTAATCTATGGGGTCTCTGCTAGTGAATCAGTATTTATCCCTAGTACACGAATGGATTTTGGGAACCCACTCCACATAGAGGGATGCTTTCTCTACTTAGACACACTTGGGAGGTTCTAAGCCCTTCTCCAAATAATATGACAGACTTTGAAGATTCCCCATGGAAGGCCTCACCCTCCCTGGAGAGCAGAAAGGGGATGGCATAGAGGGTCAGTGGGGGCCAGGGGAGGAAGGGAGGGAGAGGGAACTGACATTGACATGTAAAACAAGCTTGTTTCTAATTTAAAATTAAAAAAGGAAAAAATACAAAAATGCATATAAACAATAGTTCTCAAACACTGGATATTTAATTATAAGAGATTTTAATATGCTCACCTCTTGCCCAGTAAGCATTTCCTGGGTGGTGATCTTTATGAACTAATGAAATTTAGAGAAGACAAAGGCAATATGGTTTCTATCAGATGAGATGGGGGCAGAATTCAAAATCTACAGAGATTTTACTTGGAATTTTAGCTAACTATGGAAAGCACATTCATTTGAGGAAAGGAACTCTAGGCCAGGGAATGAACTACGGGGAAGACTTGGGAGCACTGAAAGGTCTGAGAGTTTATCTCCAAGAAGCACAATAATTAAATGTTTTTTTGTGATTAGATAGTAACTAGCCTAGAGAATAAAATTAATCTTCTTCTCCTTCTTCTTTTTTTTTTTTTTTTGGTTTTTACGAGACAGGGTTTCTCTGTATTGTTTTGGAGGCTATCGGTCCAGCCCGGCCTCGAACTCACAGAGATCCGCCTGCCTCTGCCTCCCGAGTGCTGGGATTAAAGGCGTGTGCCACCACCACCCGGCGAAAATTAATCTTCTGTAACCTTATATTTTTAGCATTTTGTAACTATTAATAGAAAAGTAGGGAGGTACTTTGTGGTTGACATCAGTGACACACATAAAATATGGTGAGAGAATTTAGGCAAATTGTTTAATCATTTAAAAGTGCATATTCTAAATAGTCCTGTGTCCATTTAAAAAATGAGTTACCAGTTTCTCTAGTTTGGGAAAATGGAAGACAGAAACAATGAACAAATTTTCTTGTGTGTTGGATAAAATTAGGATGATGATTTAAACTATAAGGTGTGTTCTGCAATAGAACAAATCTGGGTGATTCAGGATATCTGACTTCTGAAATATTATCTTTCTAATGTAATGTTTAACTAGCCTTTAAGATCCCTAAAATGCCATGAAACTTACAAATGAGGTAAAGAAGGTACTTGCTTCTATGTTTAATATCGTCAAGCACAGATCTAAGATATTTTTATATAAAAGAGAATACGACAAGCACATGACAATTTAATCTCTATATTTTTCTTTTCCACGTTTATTCAATAAGTTTTGCCATGTAGCTTATGCCTGCGTAGTACTACCTATGTAGCTCAGGATGGTCATAAATTCACAACAGTTCTCTTTGTTCTGCATTTACATGTATAATGATAACAATTAAAGATGAGGTTATGATGAAAGAACTCATCCTCCCTGGGGAAAGGTGGGGGTATTGGGTGGGTGGTGGGAGGAGGAGAGGGAAAGGGAGAGGGACGTGAGATTGACATGTGAAGAAACCTTGTTTCTAATTTGAATTTAAATTTAAAAATAATTTTTTAATAAAAAAGACAAGGTCATGAGTTCAAGAGGGAGAAGGGGCATGGGAGAAGTTGGAAGAGTATAGGAAGGGATGAAAATGATGTATATACAGTACTAATATGTGAAATTCTTAAAAATGAAAAGTTAAATTAGCAAGAAGCAGCCATAGGTTAAAGAAAAATGCAATCATGGTTAAGAAAGTGCATAGGACAAGACTCAGGGTGCCCAATTTTGAGGCAGCCAATTAAAGGAGGCTATGCATGCAAGTGAATCAGCACTAGATTGTACAGGCATATCTCCTCTTTAACAAGCTTATTTTGAAAAGTGTAAGTATACCACCACTTTGAGTTCATCACAAACCTTGAAAGCCGTTGGATAGAAGTAAGGTAGAAGGCTCACAATACCTTCAACATGTTTAAGAGTAGCAATTGGAGCCAGTAAAAAACACAATTTAATCTTTTCAGCCAGTTTTTGATTTGTTGAAAATGCCCCCAGAGCTGAAAGAAATAAAACAAAATTATTTTGCTGCCCTTCTCTTCTTAAAATTGTCTGGGTGGTTAGGCTTCACAGAGCATGTAATGGCATCTTGGCTTCCCAATAAGCTTGTGGTGATGATCACATCCTTTGTGCATGGTTTCATGTTCAGATGTGACTCCTTCTAAGGTAGAGGAGGCCCTGTCTCATGCTCTCTTGGGTTAGGGCAAAGACTGTGTCTTTTGGAGCAGGAGCACCATGTCCATTCTTTACTTTTCTTTGTGTAAGTTCTTTCCTAATAAATACCTAATTATCAACTATCTTGGGTAGGGTGGATTCCTTTAAAGCTGTCTTCAAGAGTTTATGTTTTCTCTTTTCAGACATTTAAAATTGGCCTTGGAGATTTCCCTTAGTTTGCTTCCCAGAGTGCTATAACTTTAAAATTTTAAATTCCATTCAATTTACTATGATTGACTATATTTATGATTTATTGACTGCTTGATGTTTTGAGTAGCCAGACTGACTGTACTTAAGGATCAGCTCAGCACTTTTGAAAATAAATCTTCCCTAACTCTTGGAGAAGACATCTCTACATTTATTGATTTTATGATCTCTGTCATTTCTACCTTCATAAGTAATCTCTGTCATATCTGTAGACCACTTGTGCAGGTAAACACATCTACTTATCTACCCATAATTAATCTATCTGACTTTCAATCATCTCTCTATCATACTATAAATTGAATAAATACATATATTAGTTGGAAATTTTCCCTGGCAGTCAAACAGTTGGAAACATCTATCTTTTATTACAGGTTTCTTTGAAAATATATACTATATACAAGTTCAAACAATACCAGTAAAAGCTGTTGAGAAATGACCAAGACAAGTTAAGAGTGGAGCCAGACACCTGAAACTTTTCCTAAGCAGAATTGAAACACCAATCTTCCACATGTACAATGCTATATGAGGAAGAACACACACACACACACACACACACACATACACGCACAGTGAGTCACTATCAGGAGTTCTAACTATAAATAATCCTAGAAGAATCTCACACATACACTTCATTTAAATATCTTGTATATTAGAAATTAATGGCTGTAACATTTTAAAAGTATGTTACAGTTGTTATCAGCTATCAAAAAGGCTTGTATGTGTTTTAAAAAAAACAGTTGCAAATTTTACATATGTATTTGTGTTCTTCAGGATAAAATCACATCATTGTCTAACTTTGTTCTTTGTTAGCATACCGATAAGGGCGCCTTGAGAATGACCAATATAGTAAATCTGCTTTTGTCCAGTTTTCTTCAGAATGAAATTAATGGTGGCTGGAAGGTCATATTTTATCATTTCATCAAAACTGCATGAAAACAAAATGGAAAATTTTATCTAATTATTAAACAATAAATAAGATCTGTTTTAAATGATGCTTTTATAGAGGCTATTTGAAGGGCAGCATTTGTGAGACATGGCTCACAATCACTCCTCGCATGTTTACTATGGTACCACCCTATAAGCACCACTTTTCTGTGTTCGCAAATTTCCCTTGATGTAGATCTACAACTGTACACTTTAAACTGAATTAAGCTAGCATTGCTATGTCCACAGTGAATGAACCGTTAATGCACCTTTTCCCTAGAGCCAAATTTCTAAAATTCTAGGTTCTCCACATGAGAATCATGTTAGTTAAGACTGGGAATCAGCTTGTAAATCTCTCCCAATGCTCAAAAAAGAGAGTGGGTAGGGGATAAAAGAAGGGAGCAAAAGGGGGGGGTGTTGCTAGAGGTACAATGATGTAAATGTGATAGAACTTGTTTAAATAAATGGATGAAAATGAACTCCAGGAGATATTCTACTACCCTGTGACCCAAAGCACTCATATGTACTTTTACCCTTGTCTTTTCACCCTTGCCTCTCACTCATTCCACTTACAAACTATCAACAGTATTGAGCTAATTTGGAAAGCAATTGAAGTCAGAATTTGATTCCCAGAACCAACCAGGAAAAAAAATCCAGGCATGCTGATCCATGGCTGAAATTCCAGCCATTTAGAGGCAGAAATGAATATATCATAGGGTCTTAGATAAGCAGGCAGTCTCTTCTAGTTAATGATTTCCACATTGGACAGTGTGTCTAAGGAATGACACCTTAATTTGTGCTCTGATCCTCATAAAAATACACGTACATGAATATACACATGCATTATAAACACAATCATGTATGCACACACACACACACACACACACACAAATCAAGATACACCACCCAAAGTAAAAATTAATGAAAGATGGCAAAAATACTTCTATATTTGCCAAATCAGTGTTTCAAATATATCAAATTTACTGCAATGAAACAATTTTATAAAGACATAAATGAGGCCTGTGAGATGACTAGGTGAGCAAAGGCACTATTTACCAAGCTGGTTGCTTTGAGTTTGATTGCCAGAACCAATATGGTTGAAGAAGAGAGACAACTACTTTAGTTGTTTCCTGGACTCCAAACATGTACCTGCTCATTTGTACACACACACACACACACACACACACACACACACACACACACACACCAAGTGAGAGAAAGAAATATAATTGTTAAAATAAGTGGATTGAGCTGGGCGGTGGTGGCGCACGCCTTTAATCCCAGCACTCGGGAGGCAGAGGCAGGCGGATCTCTGTGAGTTCGAGGCTGGGCTGGACCGATAGCCTCCAAAACAATACAGAGAAACCCTGTCTCGAAAAACCAAAAAAAAAAAAAATAAGTGGATTGATTAGAAAAAAGTTACAAGTTCAAGCATAGAAAAATAGGTTATAATGAGAATTATATTATAATTGATAAGCATAGTAACCACAATGCAAATTCCTAAACTATGTCACTCAAATCAATCTAAAATATCACTCCAAGTGAAATGCTTTCAATCCAGTCCCTCCTAAAATTTGATTCAACCTTTAAAATATTTGACATTCTCTTAAGGCAAAAGTACTGTTATAAGGTTTTCCTACCTAAATGCCCAGAATTCTTTAGAGTTTGGGTCCAGGTACAAGTGTTTTTTTGCCCAGGTACTTCCTCTGCTGTTTCCCATCCACACATCAAAACCAGCATCTGCTAGGATGAAGGCCAGGCTGTTGCTGGGAGGATTGGAAACCCATACACCAGCAGTTGAAAACAAACCATGCTGACAAAGTACTACTTTCTTTGGGGCTGCAAAAACAGTAGTGAAAATGTTTTACAATGTTAACATCTGTTCAAAATGAAGTCAAATTTCAAATAATCACAGTGGAACTGCAAAGATTTTGAAATGAGGGAACAGGGATTGCTAAGTTGCATTCTACTTATTATGTCTATCAATATTAATCAGTATTTACTATGCAAAAGAAGAACCTTTCATATAGGATCTCAGTCTTCAAAGTACCAATAGAATCGAGATACCCTTAAGCCCCCAGCTATAGTCATGGGAGTCAAGTAGCTCCAACTGCTCTTTTGAAATGATCCAATTTGAAAGTAATGCATTTCATTGCCTCAGGATGCTTCTATACTTGTGTTACTCAGATCTTACCTGTGCTATTAATGTTGTTTTTCCCATGAGGAATACGGTTAAGTGGGAGGATGTAACCATCCTCAGTCACAGCCTCATATTCCTCACTTGTGTAACCCCAGTGATTAACAATTTTACTCTAGGAGAGAAAACACAGTAATGAGTTTCATGAATCTTTGTGTTTTCAGTCATTTTTCCTGATTCTAAAAATAGAATTTCCTCTTGGAGTGAAGTTATCAATCTTGGTAAACATTCAGACTTAGAGATAAAATGATTCAGAAAAGATGAATGGAATTAACAGAGACAAAGCAAATGCATGTAGTTTTATTTGTGATAAGAATAGCTTACAACTTTCATGTAGGCTTCAGGATTCGTGGTTGTTTCAAATAAACAAAATATATTTCCACATACATGGACAAGGCACATTGTACTCAGCAGCCACGACATTCTAAACCTGCAGGGAAATAGTTATTGCCATGAAGTAGCTAACAGAACATTATTAACTCAGCTCATAGCAAGTATATTAATTCCATATGTAACCTTCCATAACTGAAACTTTTCATATTATATGAGTCTTCAGTGAACTCTATATCTTTGAAAGAGTGCCATTGGAGAAGTGGATGGTGGATGGGAAGGGAAGGTTAAGAAAAGGGGAAAAAGGAGGGAGGGGAATTAGTGTTGGCACGGGAAATGAAAAACAAATCTTTTAAATAAAAATAACAGCTTTGAAGAAATTAAACTTAACAATATTATTTATGAGGGAAACTGCTTTTCCCTCAGCTGTTTGTAATAATAAAATAATTCTTGTAATGTGATTTCTTCTAGTCAGCCTGGTCCCAGAGTCGCGTCAACCCCAAATATCACACAGAGACACTATTAGTTACAATGCTGTCAGCCAATTTCCACATGGTGACTCTTCTTTTTACTACATTTCCTAGAATACTCCTTGACTCCTAGTTCCACCTATCTTGATTCCCTATTGGCCAACAGTGCTTTATTCATTAACCAATAAGAGAGACATATACAGAGAAGGACTTCCCTCATCAAATTCTAACACAGTTGCTCTTGAAATATGATCGATGCCTCTTTGGAATTTGTCCTTAAAAAATAAGGTCAGTATATTATTTATTTATTAATGAGTTAAAATAAGTTAATTAGTTCAAAGCACTTTAGATTTTTGACAGCAGAATGAGGACAGTAGTAAAGGTTAATAAAAAGGATAGCACAGATAAATAAAATCAGAGTGGAGGAGCTTTCAAATGTAGAAGTGACTACCAATGCATCTTGTCTGGCCACAACATCTACCCTGGTATCCTTTTATAACTATGGAGAGCAAGCATATTCCATCAATGTGCCAGAATTTCTATAATATGTGCTTTTGAAATGCAAACATGAGTAATATGCATGTCTCCCACTCTTTATAAGTATTATTTCAAAGTGATATACTGTACACAAAATTTCAATAATCATTCATTTGTCAATTAAGGTTGCTATAGAAGATATATACCCCACAAATAATGTCCCTGTTTCTGTCCCAAGCACAGGCTCTGGCTTCTGATCTTTCTTTTTCATTTTTTGTTCAGTTCCTTAAAATCAAGATGCCAAATTAGCTAGAAATAGGAAAGCTACACATTAACACAATAGTTTTAGCAATAAAATAAAGGCTGTAATGTCAACATTCATGCTGTTTTAATACTGAACCTAAAGAAACAATACAAAAATTTTAGAGTATCATACCTACTCTTTTGGTTCCTGTAGTCTGAATGAAAGTTTAATTCTCCTTTTCCATCCTGCTCACCATAAATATATCAGTGAATGTATTTTTTGGACGACCTTTCCTAGAAATGAATAGTGCCTACTTTAACCATGAACTCAGGTGTTTGTCAAATCAGAAGCCAAATATGGAAAGCTCTCAAATTTGAGTTGGTGCCTAAATTTCCACCTTGTTTCCTTATCTCTGGGTTCATCATATACCAACACCCTTTTCCATGTCCTCATCCTTACTGTAAATATTGAAGTTTTCATTAGCTTTTAGGCCGGAGAATAAATCATCACGCTCTATTTTCCTCAAAAATGTAATCGTGTCCATCATTCTTTACTCAATGAGTTTGAAAGCTGCCGTATACAGAGTTATATAATGTCATCATAAACATTGACATTATGAACAATTCCATTTTAAAAAACATTTACCCCTATATCTGAATTAAGTACAACGTGTGTGTAAATTTGGGAGATGATAGCTTCAGAATATATAAATGACAAAGTATTAATAGCAAGGATGGTTTAAAGCACTTAGGAATATATAAAATTTCAATAGAAAAAACAAACCACAACCACCAAAAGATTATGACAACATCTGCAAGCATATGCTCACATTCCCATTAAGAGAATAATAAATAAATATCATTGTCCAGAAAAGTTAAGGCATAAATTCCCTTTCTCTGAAATTTGTATTCCTATGTTCCTAAAAACTCTGGCATACTGATTGAAGGAAATGAATATGCCACTATTTGAATGTAACCTGTGTCCCAAGGCCCATGTGCTTGGGGTTGGTGTCCAGAGTCACAGTGCTGACATTTTGTAACCTATATGAAGTGGAATCTTGTTGAGGTTCTTAGGTCAAGAGAACCAAACCACATATGGATTAATGGTATATCTGAGGAGTAGGTCAAATATGGTTGTAAGTGATGTTTCCAAAAGAATTTTTGTCATAAAAGTAAGATGAAAGCACTTCTGGCTTGTGTCCAAGTTTTGCTTCCTAGATATGCAAGTGACCTCTTCTCCTGGCATTTGAAAACTTGTTATGGTGTCTGGCTTCTTGCATTCCCAGAACTGAGCACCCATCATGCTCTAAAAACTGCAGAATTATGAGCCATGTGAATCCCTTTTACAAAGTATTCAGTGTATGGTATGTTGCTTCAGCATCAGGAATTGGTCAAGATTACTGTTTAAATCTAGATATACAGGCTGTCAATAATGTCTCAGATTATAAAGGGAATTATTATGACAATTGACTCCATTTCTGCTTTTGCAACTGTATCTCTACCTCTGGTATATCCTCTATACACATATACTGGGAAGAAATTGATCAGATAAGACATCATTATGAAGAAACTTTTTCTGATGTGTAAAAATGATTTTCTGTCTATTTTCAGAATTTTTAATTATTAGTGAACACCTTCCATCCCACTTCACCAAGAAACTGATAGTAATTAATTATTCTACTATCATCATTTTGTTTAATTGAAAAATTTCAACAAACCATGGATTCCAACTAAACTTAAAATATAGTTGGCTGAATTTACTATGCAAGCACTGTTTTATTGTGTTAAAAATAGTCTATGGAGACATATTTGAGGACAAAAATAGAGCTGATCTTGGTAGTTCATGATACCACTCAAGAGGCAGAGACAGTAGGATAGTCCATGGGTTCAGTGTGAGCCAACTAAGGATGTATACATTCATTCCTGCAAATAGACTATAGAGTACCTAGGACCCAACTTTTATGTGGTCGCCTGGTTCATAGACCTTAATGTTAAAAACGTACCTTTCTTAAGAATATTTTCAAATAGTTAAAGATTTTCAGTAAAATTTGACCTTCTCTACAAGATTGTGCCCATTTCTTACATACATATTTTTCCTATATCTTTATATTCTAAACCACTTTAAATTTTAGTTCTATGCATATATACTTTATTGATAATTAATGTTTGCCAAGGAAAATAGCAGCACGAAAGAACTACTGTATGATGGTAAGGCATGTCAAAATTGTTTAACATGTTTCCAAATTTTGGTTTACATAAGAACAATCGTAAGCTCTAGAACAAAAGGAAACAAACTCACCCCAGAGGAGGAGATGCCAGGAAATAATCAAATTGAGGGCTGAAATCAATGAAGTAGAAAAAAGAAAACAGTAAAAGAAACAATGAAACAAAGAGTTGGTTCTTTGAGAAAATCAATCAGGTAGACAAACCTTTATCCAAAGTAACGAAAAGGTAGAGAGAGAGAGAGCATGCTAATTAACAAAATTAGAAACGAAAAGAGGGACATAATAACAGAAGCTGAGGAAGTCCAGAGAAGCAACAGGTTATACTTTTAAAATCTGTATTAAACAAAATTTGAAAATTAAAAGGAAATGATGTTTTTCTGGATAGGTATCACTTACCAAATTTACATCAAGAACAGATAAGCAATTTAAGTAGACCTATAATCCCTAATGAAATAGATCCAGTCATCAAAAGTCTCCCAACCAAAAAAAGGTCAGGGCCACATGATTTCAGTGCAGAATTAGACAAGAAGTTCAAGAAAGAGCTAATACTTGTACTCCTCGCTGTTCCACACAATAGAAGGATCACTGCCAAACTCTTTTTAGGAGGCTGCAATTACCTTGCTATCAAAGCCAGACAAAGACACAACTAAGAAAGAGAACTATAGACCAATATCCCTCATGAAAATTGATACAAAAATACTCAGTAAAATACTGGCAAATAGAATCCAAGAACACATCAGAGAAATCATTCACCATGATCAAGTAGGCTTCATCTCAGGGATGCAGGAATGGTTCAACATATGAAAATCTATCAATGTAATCCACCATATAAGCTAACTGCAAAAGAAAAACCACATGATCATCTCACTAGATAATGAAAAAGCCTTTGGCAAAATCCAACAACTTTTCATGATAAAGATCCTGAACACAATAAAAGCATTATACAGTAAACTAACAGCCAACATCAAACTAAATTGAGAGAAATGCAATGCAGTTCCTCTAAAATCAGGGACAAGGCTGTCCACTCTCTCCATATCTCTTCAATATTACGTTCAAAGTTCTAGCTAGAGTAATAAGACAACAAAAGGGAGATCAAGGGGATAAAAATGGAATGGAAGAGGTCAAAGTTTCACTATTTGCAGATGGTGGGTGGGGGAGGAGGAGAGGGAGAGGGAGAGGGAGCTGTGGTTCACATGTGAAGCAGGCTTGCTTCTAATTTAAATAATAAAAGAAAAAGAAAAAAGAGATGTCTTTATTTCCAGCCATCAAGTGTTTTCATTTTGTTTCATGGGTTTTGCTATTTCTTTGGACCCTGTTCACAACTCAAAGATGAAGGGACCCTGATCACAGAGCCAGTCATTTGACTTCCAAGTGGAGCCAAAGGTTTCACCCTCCCTTTAAACACAGTGCATTGTTTCTATGCAATTGTCCCACTTCATATAGAGTATCAGTGTTGTGATGATGCAGTTCCTGTGCTGCAGCTCTAGAAAACATGTCTGCAGAAGCTCTCGACAAAGTGTATAGCTGTCAGAAAACTGCTCAGAAAGCATGTTTGGATGGGCCTTCTTATCACATGTGTAATAACAGAGATACTCATCCAAAATTTTCATGATTATATCCTGAGTAACATAAGTAAAGATCCTAAAATTGTCTTTAGTCTTCAATTATGATCTAGACAGAATAGAAAGAAATTCAAAATTTCAATAATGTAATGGAAATTTATTTCCAGATAATACCAAGTTGGAAAGAATACACATTATATGTAAGAGCTAGTTTACCATATCTTTATTGATTCTGAAAACTGGTAGACAGATTCACTGAAGTATGAATAGTTCTTTAGACTGTGCAGACTTACCAACATTGTCTTCTAAGATGAAAGGTTAACATACAAAAGCATATAAATATCTAGGGAAACTTTATATGTGTTCAAAAGAACCCTATGAGGAATGAAATACCCTGCCAGTGATGCTTCTTTTGGATTGTTCACCAGCAAAATTGAGCCAGGAGTCTTGGACAGGAGAGATAATAATAGGGGAAAATATATGGAGTATAGTGTATTGAAATAAAATTCCCCATGTACTTCCAGCCAAGTTTAGATGTCCAATTCAATGCTTTTGGTTAATTTAGTTAAACATAATAAAGGCAATGTGTGATACCGGGTAATATTGCCACTCTTATAACAATTGGTAAATGTAGATTAATATATGTAAAACTTAAAATTATTCAACTGTAGACAAAGTTCAATGTCTTCAAAGCCATATGCAGGGTCAGAATTCAGGTCCAGGGAAAAATGGACAAAAAAGAAATTTAAATTTCTTGTCAGGTTTTCATCTATGTTCATTTAATTTATACTAGAGGCCATATTTTACAGAAAGAAGGTTACAACTCTAAGTATGATTTGTTATTGTTTTACATTATATTAATTTAAGTTATCTCTGGTAGTCTAGACATGATTTTAATGTTTATTCCAAATATTTTCTGGGCTCACACAATTAGTCCACTATTTGCTACTGATTACCTGTCTCCAGCAACATGCATGTTTTCTTTTTTTAATTTATTTTTATTTTAATTTTAAATAGCTTGTTTTACATGTCAATCCCAGTTCCCTCTCCCTCCCCTCCTCCCGCACCCCCCACCATCCCCTCCATCCTCCCATCCTATTGTCAATTCCTTCCACTTAGGGGATATCTAGAGTCTGTCATTTCACTCAGGGTAGGGTCCAGGCACTTCCCTAAGAGTCCAGGCAGAGAGCATCCCTCTTTGTGTTATGGACACACGATGTCTGTTAGTATTCAAGGGATAAACACTGATCCACTGCTCAGGACCCCATAGGTAGCCCAGGCCTCCTCATTGACTCTCACATTCAGGGGGTCTGGATCCGCCCCATGCTGGCCTCCCAGCTGTCGGGTCTGTGGTCCAAGAGCTCTCCCCTGTTCAGATCAGCTGTCTCTGCTGGTTTTGCCAGCCCATTCTTTGCCAATTTGCTCTTTGCTCCTCTCTCTCTGTCG